TTTTTTTTTTTTTTTCGGTACTTATGGAGAGAAGTTTGCCACATATATTACATGCTAATGTTCTTAAGATTACAGGTACATCACTTTAGGTAATGAAGGGAATAGAAGGCACATGTATTACTATTTTGCTACTTCAGAACGCAATCCTTCAAAAGATCCAATTGTATTTTGGACTAATGGTGGTCCTGGATGTTCAGGAATGAATGCCATTGTATACTTTCATGGTTGGTATTTCTAATTTACATTTACTACTCGTAATTTACTCAGAAGAAGCTCACTCTTCATCATGAAGGATTGAGAACCATTTTTTGTTGTTTATTGTGGATTTTCATTGTAAGAAAACTCTTTCAACAAATTACTATAGTCTTATGTGCATAATTGAAGGTCAAAATGACATATCACATACAATGGCATGAAGTAGCATGATTAAACTGACTAAACTATTCCATCCCAACACAAAATTCCTGTATACAGCATGGGCAATAGGTTATATTTACATCCTTGTGTGTGTTTTAACTAGTAGAACTGGGAGGTGCTTTGCAGGTCCCATTAAAAGGTTCTATAATTGATAGTGGTAGCAACGGTATGAGAAATAATATGTTTAATGAGAATATGGCTATATCCGTATTTATGGTATGGAATTAAGTATTAGAAATATGCTTAGAAAATGAGTAAATTCTTTATGCTATTTAAAGATAACAAACAAAATTTAATATAGAATTAACTACATTTAGTATTCATATAATAAACTAATTAAATTTATATAATTGTCATTGTTATAATTCAATAGGTACTTAAATTTGTATAATTATTGTTTTGTTATTATAATTCAGAAAGTTCATTATTTAATATTTATATCAATAATTAAAATTACTAATATAATAGTAACAGTAATGTATTATACAAATATTTTAAGTTTATTGGAATTTTAATATTTTAATTATCATTTTATTGTTATTATTATAATCCATCATCATCATCTAATTAAAAGATGATAGTTGTATAACATATACATTGCAATTAGGATTCCACTTATTTGTGCAATTGTTATAATATACAGTACAATAATACGATTATATTATTGGTTAATAATATTTATTTCAATCGTTATTATTAATTTTTAATAATTGCTAACAATAATAATTATTATAATATAAAAAAAATTCATTATAATAATTTAAAGAGTATGAAAAGCAGCATTAAAAATGTGCACCTTCACAATATGCCTTTCCAAAATTTTCCCTTGTAAATAATTAGTGAAGAGTCAGGATTAATATAGAGAGTCACCAAAGATTAATATAGAGTCACTACCTATATAAGGTTGTAACCAAATATATAATTATTAAATAGTTTCTATTAAAAAGATGTACCCATGTTTAAATCATAATTTATTAGTGAAGAGTCGCAATAGATATAAATAATAGGGCGTGACCACATAAGCAATACGATTTGAATATATGCAATAAATAACACCTTAACCACTCAAGTCCAAGCATGAATTCTTGGTTAGTATCTCTAGATACGAATTATCGAAAGATAAGGTAATAGCGACATTGCTAGGGACGTGTGGAATGGTAGATAGAGTTAAAATTTCTGTAGACCTTGTTAGGAAAATAAATAAAGTATATGGGAACTCAAAGGAAATTCTTGATAAAGCCCCAATCTACAGTCTACCACTCACAAAATTAGATTTAAAGAAGAAGAAGAAGAAGATATGCAATACTAGGAAAGGTCTGTACCCAGGCCGAATTCATGCTTGGTAATTGGACTCTTGGCATTGTAGCACAGCTAGCACTATGCATCCAAGGTTAATAACTAACGAAAAAAGCCCGAGCTTAGTTGGTGAGAACAAGACGATTTTGCAACACTACATCCTAGGCTCAATTCCTATCAAGGGTAGGGGCGCTCTCCTCCTCACTAACTCACCCAAAACAAAAACTAATGATGAACTTATTGAGTAACACTGTAACAGAGCCATGACTTGCCTATTTTGCATAGAAGCTCCAAGAGACCTAGAGAACCCAAGCTCAATCTCATAGTTAACCTCTCTTTGCATATTCTCTCTCTGCACCTAAAGACTCTATACACCTTGCACAGGCTTCCTAAAACAACTATTCTTAAAGAGAAACAAATCCTGTAGATAAAGTAACATGGACTCCTCTATATCTTTCATTACAGGAGGTAAATATAATCCCCATATCCTATCTTTTAATTAGATACAAGGGTACATATCGCCACAAAATAGACAAGAATTTCAAGAAACCTAGGATTTACTCCTCTATAAACTAGGAAACCTAATAGCTACAAGATAGAAACCTAAAATCTCTCATAGGTTAATTCTTTCGAATAGGCATTAATGATTGAATGGGATTATTGTGAAATGTTTATTCATATTAGTGAGCATAAGAATTTTAAAACACATCCATGTGCGGCAACAGTGTCTTTAAACCATTGCTTACTTCAATAATAGTTTCAAATCATTTTGATGTTAATTTGCTTAATAATAAGAAACATGGAGACTTCTCACAAATTGGTAAAAGCATTTATTTTCTTCTTCATTCAATAAAAATGGGCTTTGAACATAAATATTAAATTTGAAAATTACTATGGAAATATGATTTCTTTTATATTTATTTGTCAGCTCAATTAGAACGGAGTTTTTTTATTTGCTTCATGTTTAGAATCTTATTTTACAAACTATAAGTTTATTTCTTGGGTTATCAACCTCAAACAGGCACACTTCTAAATCTTGCGAAAAGTGCAGTACTGGTATCTAAAACCCTTATTAGGCATTAAAATCTTTTTCTATTTCATATCCATACAACTTGAGGTCGAGATGCTCTATTAAAGGGTTTTCTAGCATTGAAATACCTTTTAGGTGGATTTCTGAGGTGCAGTTTATTTTTATAATATATGCTCGATGTCTTTTATAAACTGTTTCTCTATTGTATTTCAGGTCCTTTCAAGATCGAGGACGATCAGGATTATATGATCAATGGGGTGAAAGTAAACCTAAATCCTTTTCGTTGGACCAAGGTAATATTCATCAAGCAGCTTCACCTATGCTTTTTAAGGTTGGACCATAACAAAATGTCCATTATCTTCTATCTTTCATATGAGACTCTTTATTGATGCTCCACATCTACTCTTCATATTTGTCAATTCATAGAATGTGAGGATGATGAGTTTCTAGTGCACTCTCTTCGGCATGAGTTATAAAGACAAATGACTTTTAGCATGTGAATGGAAATAATGTGAGTGAATTTCCTCTTTCAAATCGTGCACTGCAGGTGTCTAACCTTGTTGTTATGGATTCACCTATTGGTACTGGATTCTCATATGCTGATAACAGTGAGTGTTACGAAACTGATGATTCCAAAACTATAGCAGATCTATATGCCTTTGTTTTAAAGGTCAGCCACCCTATCCTTTGCCTAATAAAAAAATATTCAGGATGTTCACTTCCAGTTATATGATGCAGTGGTTTCATGAATATCCTGAATTCTTGTCCAATCCACTTTACATTACGGGATGTTCATATGGTGGAGCTTATGTCCCAACTTTGTCAGTAAAAATTGTGAAAGGTAGCACTTATATCAATAATTCCTTTTGTTTGTTCTAATTATGTTCTTAATTACACCAAGCTAATGTTATAGAAGTTTATTTTTGATTATTGATAGTTGAACCTAATAATTAAGTCTGTGTATTGACTACATGGTACAATGGCATGTCTCCTTAGTCAGAATTATGCTTTTTATTTTCCCATTAACATTTAATTTATTTTTGCAGGTATAGAAGAAGGGGTGAAGCCGAACTTAAATTTCAAGGTAACTGTGATGTTCATATTCAAAAGATGTATATGACTTTGTTGATGGTATTCTCTAGTTACCTAAAAGACATTATGGATATGCAATTGAAATTTTCAAATTTACATTTGAATGGAAGTCAATGCACTTGATTTCATTGCGATGCTAGAATAAACGTAGACTATTGAGTGTCTTTTTCCATGTCAGGTCACCAATAGGATTCATAATTCTTTCAAAGAAATTATGATTTCCCTTTCTAGTTAATGCTCACAAATAATAATGTCGTTGCCCAAAATAGATGGTTATATCTAATTCATGTTCATGTTTGATGGCATATCAGGGCTACTCTGTAGGCAATGAGCTTACAGATTATGATATTCTTTTAGAATCTAAGGTTCCATTTGCTCATCGAATGGGACTCATTTCAGATAAACTATATGAGGATTTAAGAATATCATGTCAAGGGAATTATTGGAATTCCATCCACCCTGATTGTCTGAGGAAAATGGAAGCGTTTAAGAAGGTAATATATAATCCCTAAATTTGTATCCCTAAATTTGTATTTTGAGATCAAATTTATCATGATTTAGGGGGCTTACCCTTCTATATATTGTGCTGTAGAATACTGGTGGGATAAATGTTGAACATGTTCTTCTCCCACATTGCCATGTTGATATGGGTATGAGCAGGAGTACTCGCTATGCGGAGGAAAGGTTTCAAATGTATGATGGTTGTGAAGAGAATGGATACGAAGTTGAGTGTGTAGGAACAAATGATATAGGAGTTTCAGAAAATGCAAATGCATATCAGCACGTTCGGGAAATCTACTGCTACGTGAGTCATATTTAGATCGATCAGTGATTTTCAATGGAAGCGTGGATTAGACTCGTGAGAATGGGGCTTGGCTCATGGTGGTAGCACCACCTGAGCCCCAAGTAAAGGTCACAGCCCATTCTCACTAACACTTTCAAAACATTGAATCTTTCCCAAACGGATAGTGGCTTGTAATCCCCAAACATCCACATGAAAAAAGAAAAATAAAACAAGTAGACTTGTTTCCTAGATTTATTGATCTTGGATGCAATTCCTTGAACCATTTTTGGTGGTTTAAGGGAAATCATGGCGTGTTTCTTCTGGGATACCAAATTTATTGTTTTGCCCACCTCAAATATTACTTTGGAGCTAGGCAAGGGACCCAAAATATTTCCAAAATACTCTCTCATACAAAACTAAAACTAAGATTCATGACAAAAATGCATTGGACGCCCCATAAATGCCTCAAATCTTTACAATTTTGAATGAAATTTCAACTATTGGTTCTAATAATGGAATATATTTGAGGAGAATTGGAGGCAAAACAAATTAAACTTAGAATCAACTAATTCTTGAGGAGTCCCAAAATGTTTTAGGTGCATGGCACCTCAATAGTGGTTTTTGCGGTGCCAAGAGCCCATTTATGGTGCCCCTAGTAGAAGATATTATTATATCCCTTAACTAAGAGATGAGATGTTTATTGTATAATTTTAAATATGTTTAGAAATATGCTTTAGGTCAAATATATATAGGAAGATGCCAGGGTGAGCTCAATGGTTCAGATTGAATCTGGGCCGATCTAACGGTTGAGAGTGTTTGAATTTTAATTTTTTTTCTACAAATCCAAATCATTTGAAATTTTAGGTTAATATTCTTCTCATCAAGTCGCATTTAATAAAAGCATAAAAAAATAATTTGCAAAATTAAAAATGATCAAAATACCCCCAAAAATTTATGGGTGTATTTTTGTCATTTTTTTCATATAAATATTTTTTGAATATTTTTGAATATCACTATTTTATCAGCATATGTCTAAATTTCAAGTGATTGGGATTTAGTAAGTAAAAAAAATTAAAATTGAAAC